ATAGCCATAGATGTCCAGGTTCTGTCCGAGCCTCGTTTATGCTTAGTGGTTTCAATAAAGCTCGGTTTTGGATGACGTCTGAAAATCACAGAAAGGGAAATAGGGAATTTAGTATGTGCGATTAGACAATGTCAGGCGGGAGTTAAAAGTTCACATAAAATATGGGGCAAAGGAGTGAAAAATTCCTCCTCATAGGGTGCTGCTTTACACGCAAAGTCGGTAATTCCAGGACACTGGTTCATTCTGGTCCGAAGGCCGCGCCGTGTGTTGGCGACATGCATTGTAATAATGTAATATTAGTAGGATGGATCAGGAAGCAGGCTGGTGGTTTGTAATTAAAGTGTCCATAACTCTCGGCTTACCCGCGGTTATTGCTCTCATAACCGCTACTATCCAGCCATTATTATCACACCTTGCAAGATTCTTAGCGCAAAGGCCCCACATATCGAAATGGTACCCTGCTTTAGCCAGCAATATTCTTCACACAGAAAGGCACACACATACCGTTACAAACTATGATGAGATCAACACAATTCATCCAGCTTCGCAAACACCATCTAGCGCACCGAGTTGGTTGACGGCACTGAGTAAACAGGAGTTCGAGCGACAATTAAACGGCCCGTGACCGTCCTGTCAGCCTCTTCATTCTCATAACCTTGCGTGTATAATGAGAGCGCTACACTTCATATCCACATGCTCAAACGAATAATGCAACGAACCACTACATGTCGGCGCGTCCAGAATAATAAGACAAAGTTTATGGCATCGAAACACTTTTTAACGTACGTTCCTGGCCTCTGTCTCGGAACGATGCACGTATGAGGGGACATTTGTGCTCTCATCCAGAACGCTAGCAAAAATACGGGGAGAGAGGCACCCATTCAACAGCTTTACAACATGATCAAAGGACAGAGCGAGTGTTCTTTCTGCGTGTTCCCACCACGATACACAAAGCACCAGACGAGCGAACGGGTGCAGAAGTAGCACGTCCATACGGCGCCGAACCAGCTCTCTGCATGTCCCGCTGTCAGTTTGAAGCCGCCCTCATTCATGAAACGCACGTCCGGAGAGTTCGCCAGTCACGACATGCAATCCCCACGCCGGTGGTGCCCACTGGCTGAAGCGGAGCTCCCCACGGGTGGAGGGAGGGGAGCCGGGGGCCGGCACGGGTCAACAGACCGGCCGGCGGAGCCACGCCGCCAGCAGGGCGGGGCTCGCCGCTCCCCGGCCGACACCTCATCAGATCCAGCTCTGGGAGGCGGTCTCAGCGCCGGCAGCCGTCGGCACGCCGCCGGCGCCGCGGGCGACCAACCGTGATCAATGCCCGAACCAGCCTCATATCGGCGCCAGCCCCTAATCGCCAGATCAAACGTCGAAAAAGCGTGTCATAGATGAAGACGGCGCGGCAGAATTAGCTGTCAGGGCTAAGCCGGCCGCGTGAGATCTACATTCATCACGGCACCTTTGTTCTGCGGGCGCTAATTACAGGCCTGCTGTCGGGGGCGGGTGGCCGCGCTCCGTCGCCACCCGGGACGCCGCCGTAAACACGACTCGGAAGCGACGCAGGCTGGCCGCGCCGGCACAGCGGGCTCCGCAGGCACGCGCAGCAGGTGCTGGGGACACGCACGATGACAGGACCCGCAAGCACGCATAGCAGGAGCCAGGGTCACGCACAGCAGGAGCCAGGGGTACGCACAGCAGGAGCCAGACGCACGCACGTCAGGAGCCCGTGGCGCGCATAGCAGGAGCCACAGCCGCGCACGGCAGGTACCAGAAACACGCACAGCAAGAGCCAGGCACACACAGCAGGCACGCGAGGTAAGCGTAGAAGTACCAAAGGCACTCACAGCAGACTTCAGTGACACAAGGGGTCCAACATCAGGTCCTACAGGCTGATCACCAGCAGCCAGTCACTCACAGCAGGCTTCAGGGACACAACGGCTCCAACATCAGGTACTAAGGGCTGATCACCAGGAGCCAACCACTCACAGCAGGCTTCAGCGACACAAGGGGTCCAACATCCGGCACTAAAGGCTGACCACCAGGAGCCAGCCGCGCACAGCAGGCAACAGCCGCGCCCACAGTTGTCACCAGCTTCACTCAAACCCGTGACCGGAACACCTAACAATCTCTAGAAGCACTCGCAGCTTCCGCTGACGGGAAAAGACTGCCTGGCACGTGCCGCGATCTGCGGCGCGGTCCGCTCACGGGCGCCCGAGTTGGCACCAGGGGGCGCCGGCGAGGGCCGGCCGGCGCGGGCCTGGGCGCCCACGTCCGTCACAAACAGTCGGTCAACAAAGCGTGTCGAGCGGTCTGCGCCACAGAGGAGCGAGCCCCGGCCACGGCCGCCGCGGCCGCGGTGGGTCAGATCTGTCGCGCCGCCGCAGCCGCCTGCGACTGCCACGCCAGCACCAGCACACTCTTCCATTCAGCCTTCTGTTTTATGACCGGTCACGGCAAATAACCGGGTCGTTATGCCGGGTAAATATGTCGGCGCCCGTGAGGATAAGAAGTCTTTATTTACGACTGGCGCGTGGGCAACAGAGAGGTCTGACGACCACAAAGAAGGGTAGGGCGGAGCGAATCTCAAGCGTGATGTTTATGGCGGCTGACAGGGAGATGTGCCTCTATTGCAACGTGCATCAAAGACACTGGCGCCAGACGCCCACAACAGGGACCTTTCCGAAAGAACGCAATGCATGGTATCCTGTAATGGACGGTGGCAGCTGGCCTCTGGCTGGCCGCCGACATTGCGGGTGCTGGTAAGGTCAAGGGCTAAGCACGGCGCCTGATGCCAGATCATCGCACGCCACCCAGCGACGCTCTGGCGCCTGGAAGGTCACGGCTCCACACGGTCGCCGAGCGCTGGACTCCGGCTGTGACCTCAGCACTGACTGCGGTCGGTGGACCTCACTACTCCTGACCGGTACAGAAACGTGATCACTTGGAAACGCCGACCATGGCCAGCGCCTCCAGCGATCGGAAAAAACAACGCCAACGTGGTATGGATTTCCCATCGCTTCACGGTAAAAATAGGGCACCTCGGTCGTCGCCGTCTTCAGGATCAGCGTCACTGACGATTGGGACGGCTGAGCCAAAGGCTGCCCTCCAAATGCCCGAGGAGGGGGCGGAGTGGCCGATGGCTGGGTGCCGGCTTTGGCGCTTGAGCCGAATGATGGAGTCCGCCTCGTTGGCAGAGGATCGGGCCTGCTTTATACGGATGCCGCATGTGTCGCGCCCAGTTATGCATATTTAGCGCTGCTTGCCTGGGTGGTGGCATTGGTGTCAGCTCGACGGCCCGAGAACCACTGGTGCCAGCTTGGCGGTCCGAGGGTATGATCGGATCAACAAATACGATTTCATTCGTAGGGCTCCGTGCCGCTTGCCATGGTTGAATTTTTTGTTAAGAGGCAGCGTTGCTCCTGTCAGAAAAATTGCGAGATGTGCAAAATAACACCGACAGCTCAACAGACTCTGTTTCGCTTTCTAGGTGCGGCGCGAAGTGCCACGTTGTCAGCAAAAACTTGACGCGTTTGATGTTGCAACAGCGCCCTGCTTCTTATGTAAAAGAGGGTGTGAATTGTTGTGATGGTTTGAACCACAGCAACTGATTGTATCAATACACCATATAACGGTCTTTAATTGGAACCCACCGGGGATTACGTCACAGATGGTGATCAAAGCGATTCAGGGCAAAATTACCTAGCACAGCGTCACAATCTCTAACTAGAACAACCCAGGACAGCTCCACAATCTCAAATCAGGGAGACCCAGAACGGTACCACACCTCCTGACCAGGACGGCCAAAAACAGCGTCACAACCTCTGATCAGGGAGGCGCAGGACGGCACCACACCCTCTGACCAAGACGGCCAAGGACAGCACCAAACTCTGTGATCAGGGAGGTCCAATACAGCGGCACATCCTCTGACCAGGACGGGCCAGAGAGTCCCAGGTCGGCTTATTGCCGGGGGGAGAGGGGGGAGGGGGAGGAACGTATCGGCCCGATCGGAACGCACCATCGCCTCGCGGTGCTGCCCGGCCCGCCATTGGCCGCCGCTCAAATGAACCCTGAAATCAGAGCTATCTCACCGACGCATTGGCCGGAACGCCGCCAGGGCCGGCCGCCGCCGTCCCGCGCCCACGCCGGCAGCCTGACCCCGGCTGTGAGCCCTGCTGACGGGATCCCGACCTCACGTGGACATGTGGCTGATGCTATTCACTGACCCACACGGAGGTCAAGCTGATGGTACTCCCTGACCCACGCGGAGTTCTGGCTGATGGCACTCCCTGACCCACGCGTAGGTCTGGCTGATGGTGCTCCCTGACCCACGCGGAGTTCTGGCTGGTGGCACTCCCTGACCCACACGGAGGCCCGGCAAATGGCACTCCTTGACCCACAAGGAGGCGTGGCTGGCATCGGAACCCGCGTGAACGTCTGACAGAGGACACGGTAATCGGATCCTGACCACCGCACTGGTACTGCGCCGTCGTCCGCCACAGCCAGCGTGAACGTCTGACAGAGGACACGATAATAGGATCCTGGCCGCCGCACTGGTGCTGCGCCGTCGTCCGCCACAGCCGGCACGAACGTCTGACAGAGGACACGGTAATCGGATCCTGACCGCCGCACTGGTACTGCGCCATCATCCGCCACAGTCGGCGCGAACGATAGCAACGCTACTGACCACAGGCGTGGCATCACACGTAAAACACCTCCCCGGGTACAACGGCCCGCTCAGAACGTGCGGCCGGGCGCCCGACTTCACGAGGACGCTCGGCTCGGGGTACGCCCCCATCTGAGAGCACGGCTGGAGCCACACCGGACCCAGCTGAGCGGCCGGATATGGCCTGCCCTGAATACCTCAGACTCACCGCCTAGACGTCTGGGCGACAAATGCCTGCAGTGAAACTCCCCCGACTAATGCAGCAATTTGGCAGCGCTTCCCGGACGGCTGGCAGCCCACATCCGGTGACCAAAGGAGGTGGGACTGCCGCCTGTCAGATAATCCCTGCGGCGCCAGGCTCGGCAGCAGACCGGCCCAGCGTCAGGCCCGACACCGAGCTGGGCACCAGACCCGGCGTCAGGCCCGACACCGAGCTGGGCACCTGGCCCGGCGTCAGGCCCAGCACCGAGCTGGGCACCAGGCACAGCGTCAGGCCCAGCAACGAGCTGGGCACCAGGCCCGGCATCAGGCCCAACACCGAGCTGGGCACCAGGCCCGGCGTCAGGCCCGACACCGAGCTGGGCACCAAGCCCGGCGTCAGGCCCGACACCGAGCCGGGCATCAGGCCCCGCATCAGGCCCAACACCGAGCCGGGCACCAGGCCCAGCGTCAGGCCCAACACCGAGCCGGGCACCAGGCCCAGCGTCAGGTCCAGCACCGAGCCGGGCACCAGGCCCCGCGTCAGGCCCAACACCGAGCCGGGCACCAGGCCCGGTGTCAGGTCCAACACCGAGCCGGGCACCAGGCCTCGCGTCAGGCCCAGCGTCAAAACGCTGCTAATGCTTCCAACTGAATTACGTGGGGTAAATATCTCCTAAAAACGGGTGATTCTCTACTGATCACGAGCCGAGTAGGATATAATCAGCTGCTCCGGAAACAAATGCCACGTCACTCCTCAGTGACCTATGATCATGAAGCTCGCATATTTTAGGGAAAAAGGGTCGGCAGTCTTCACGGCATTGTTGGTTTGATAATATCTATTTTAGCTTCTGTGCTATGGAGTGCTGACGTTGGTCAATTTTGAGAAAATAGACAAAGTGAAATTAAACATACGTACCCTGAAGATCGAGCTGGGGGCCCTTGCACAGCTTGTTTTCTCTCCAGGGCTCGTGAAGGACATGCACTCAGTCTAGGCTACACTCATATGTTTCGGGTACCTTTTGGAGGCGAATTTGAGAAGTCCACACATGGGTATTGGGTTTCGCCATGCACTACAACGCTGATTTTCAGTACGAAACTTTTGATGCACCAAGTACAGCTTCAATATTTCTAGCAGTTTGATTTATTTGCTTCGTTCAAAAAAGAATGAAAAATCTCGACGGACAAACTGATCGGCAAAATGACATCTAAAATTAGACCCAGGGGCGCCAAAGTCGTGAAAAACAAAAAACGTTGCCAAATTTGCACAACCAGAATTTTAATAAAAATTGTCGTGTTGTGCAATAAGCGACACGTTTTGTCACGTACCATCATTTGGTGTTCAAAATTTTGAAATCGGTTCAAGGACAGCTGAGATATGAGCAAAAAACCTCAATGTTCTTAAGTTGTCGTTTGCCAAAGTGCCCATTAATGAACATATTGAGCCGATTTTTGCGTTTAAAACATTACTTGATGTGCAATTGAACGGGACAAAATGCTGCTAGTTTTATTAAGCGATTGCAGCCGGACAAAAAAGCCACAGGCAAAAAGCCGTTTTTGAAATTCTGAGTTTGCAAAAACCTTTGTTGGAAAAAATACTGGACCAATTTCGTTAAAATTCCAGTATGTTATGCGTGCTTCTGTTCTGAAGATCGTGCTTCCTTAATCAAGCAAATCCAACAAATAGAAGTCGAAAAACAAGCCAAAAACTGCAAAAGGTTATTTTTCCAGTCTTACGAATTAGTTGGGGTAATGCTATCCTACTTGGCACTTTGCCGGATAAGTTGTGGCATTGGCTTATTTGATCGGCTGTAAAATGAAAGCTATGTGTCCGATTGTAATCCCGTAAAAAATGTAGACAGTTGTTTGACACACTTCTGACCAAACCATAAAGGTACCACTTGCATCTTACATCATTATCACATCATCTTTCTCATGCAGCACTTCATTACGTGAACGTTTTATTGAACGCATCACCAAGACGTCAAAAGCCTTTTCCAGATAACCGACTTTTGCTCAATTGTTGTCAGGAGCATTGTGATTCTAAGACACTTTGGCTTTCGCTTCTATCCCACCTAGTTAGGTTTTCGCTGAAATTAATGTTTAACAACTTCAGTCTATCTCCATTGCTTGCGGTGCCACAGCCCGCCAAACAGCGAAGCATACAAAACCCCGTTTAGCCACAACGGCAAAACGTTGAGCATTCTTTGCCAAAGCTTGATCATTGTATCTTCATCACAGAACAATCTTGAAAAAAGATGCGGAATGTAAAGACATTAGTTCCCTAAAACTCTAAGGGCATCGCGTTCGTCTTATTCAAGTGCATCTAAGGTAAATTTACATGTATCATGACTTGCTTATTTCTAAATGACAAAAGAAGAACTTCCCAACCTAATTCGGGCAAAAAGGATACGTTTTCTCCATTTATTTCAAGATTTAGACTTCCGATGAAGCATCAAACTGCCCGTATTTTCATCAAATCTTCATCCCATCATCCCATTATATTTATCTTACAAAATCAGTGCCGGAGCCTTTCAGTGCGTCTGCTCTCTGCTCCGTTTCACCTCCTGCCTCTGTCCGCTCTCCTTGCTCCCCTTGCTCCCCTTGCCCCGCCCTGCCCCACCCCGCCCTCGCTGCACGTGACGGTGCCGCCCTTCCTCCCCGTCCTGTTATCTCTCCCGAGCAGCTGACGCCAGCTGGGGACAAGTGCAGAGCGACTTTTTGTGCCCGCTCAGCCCTCGGACGGCTGGAGCGCTGACCCCGCGGGCAGGGGACGTCAACCCACCAGGCCAGCCAACGACCGGCACGCAACCCACCAGGCCAGCCGCCGACCGGCACGCAACCCACCAGGCCAGCCGACGACCGGCACGCCATGCGTTGTAACGTTCACTGATCCATGCTGTTATGTCTGAATTTCAGCCGACTGTTTAACAGCATTGTAACAGTAGACGCGTTGATCTATGGTTCTTTTAGGCGTGATATTTAAAAAATATTGAACAGCAGTTCCTTAACTCGTGTAATTAAAACGGAGCTGAACAGAGGCGCACCCAGGATTTCGTCAACGGGGGGAGGGGGGGGGGGGTACGTGGGGCCCCTAGAGTCGGACCCCCTCCAAAAAATAGTGGCATTCCTGCCATTAAATTGGAAAATGCATAGGATAACACACACACAAACGGACACGCGCACACGCACGCACGCACGCACGCACGCACGCACACACACACACACACACACACACACACACACACACACACACACACACACACACACACACACACACACACACACACACACACACACACACACACACACACACACACACACACACACACACACACACACTCATACGTATATACATATAAGATAGTTTTATATATATATATATATATATATATATATATATATATATATACATGCATGTATTATATACAAGATAGTAAACACGGGAACCCATCATACCATGCGCAACCTTAAAATGCTAGGCGTGCTACGTATGCACATACATAGAGCTTATTCATTTTCTCCAGATCATGGTGAATCCTATCATTTTAGGCTAAGTATTTCGGAAAAACAGGCTAAATAAACTACAGTTAGCTGCTAGATACCATCAAAACATACACGACCTTTGTTTCTAGGTTACTTACGGCTAGCCGGTTGGTCCATGTGATCAGCTGATGCCTGATGACTAATGCAGCGTTTTTTTTTTCGTTGGTTTAAAGGGGTGCAATATATACCAGCCTTCAAAATATATTAAGATCGTTACGCGCAGGTGTAGTAAGTGCCACACATTCCATAGACAAGGGAAATATGACGCATAGGACGTCGGCGACACGTAAAATTACCTTCGACAGTAGCGCGTAAAAATTAATCGGCCGCTGAAAAATATCCGACCGCTGCTCTAAAGCTGAGCCACCAAGGCCAATAGGGGCGGAACCTGAGCCCGACCGCCGCTCTAAAGCTAAGCCACCAAGGCCAATAGGGGCGGAACCTGAGCCCGACCGCCGCTCTAAAGCTAAGCCACCAAGGCCAATAGGGGCGGAACCTGAGCGATCATGAACGTCAAAGGAAGCCCACAAAAAGGCTTCCGTCAAAAAGTTTAGGGCCCTCAGAGCAAGCGAGAAGAACTTAAGAGCGACGTGGTGGGCCCCGGAATGATCGGTGGTGCTCCAGATGAATTGATGCCCCTGTGCGATCAAGAGCGCCTGGACAGGTTAAAAGAAAGGGTTCCCGTAGGAGTGAAGGGTCCTCCGCAAATAAGATCAAAGGGAAAGAGCCCTAGTTCAGAGGGCACATTTGAGCATCGCGTGGCTCGGTACCTTCCCTTGTATGAGGCCCAGAAACAGCACAAGGTCCTTCAAGCAAATGGAAAAAATCGGTCACCAACGTGAAGCGCTACTGATCAGCTGAGTGTAGCCTGGCATATGGGGTCCCGGAAAAAGCGTATGAAGTGTTTCGAATGGGGGAAATCTGTAGAGGAAAACTTGATTGATCAAGAGTGCCCATGCATGTAAGCAGATAGTGTCCCACCAGCAGCGTAGGGCCCTGGGAGAAAATGCGAATATATCCGGGGCAACGCGTGGACGGCTCCTTAGCGATCCAACTGACCCGGCAAGTGGTCATATAGGGCCCAGGCAACAGCGTAGGGCCTCCGTACAGCGTAATGAGCCCCAAAATTTCCCCAATCAACACATCAATCATGGAAAAATTAAATTTGTCTGCTAATAAGCTATTTCATTTCGCTTGCAACTGTTCTTGGTCGTCAGTAGCCTAAGCACGTATAACTTTATTCTGTTTTATGTTAAAGAACTGTGTCCAAAGAACTATGTCCGTTCGGTCGGCTATGCGCCCCTTCGGGGCCTATAGGTTCCCTGGGGCACAACGGGGGCATGGCCCCGTGTCCCCCCAGGCGTATGAAGTGTTTTGTCCCCCCCCTATATCCACCACCGGCCTGGGCAACTTAGTACATGGGGCCCTGCCAAGAGCACAGGATCATACATGCAAATAAAAAGTGCCCACGACACAATGTAGTGGGCCCCTGCACGATCGCGTGCGCCAGAGCAGGTTAACAGATCTGGCCCCAGCAAGCGTGCAGGGCCCTTCATCCAAATAGGAAGTACCCAAAACCCAATGTGGAGCGCCCCCAAACGGTTGAATGTGTCCAAGGGAGTCATCAGACAGGCCCTCGACAAGAGCGTAGGGCCCTCCAGCCGAGTGAGGAGCGCCCAAGATCCAGTGTGGAGGGCCCCCGGACGGCTGAAGGTGCCCGAGCAGGTCATCACATGGCCGTCCGACAACGGCGTAGGGTCCTACATCGAAATACCCACTGTGTAGGGCCCCAAACAATCCAGTGTGCACCAGCAGGCTAACAGATGGGACCCCCACAAGCGCGCGGGGCGACGAGAAAGTGACTGAAAATTGGAAGGCCCCTAGACCAATGAAGAGGGCCCGTAGGCATATCGCGAGCGTGTCTGTAGGTCAACCGAGAACAACGTGAGGGGCCTCTGAGTAACCGAAAAGATCACGGCAGATTAACATACGGGGCCCCCGGCTATAGCGTAAAGAGCTTTTTTGGGCGAATGGGAAGAATCCGTGGAAGGCCCCTGATTGGCAAAAGCGCCCGACACGGTAACAGAAAGGGCCTCAGCAAGAGCCCGGAGCCCTCCGAGCGAATACAAAGAAGGTAAATGCGGCGCGGAAGGCTCCTTCATGATCGGATTGACCCTGAAAAGCAAGCTATAGGTCCTCAGGAAACAGCGTAGCGTCTCCGCACAGCGTAATGACCCTTATAATAACCCAATCGCGACCGTCTCAATCAGTGGATAAAACTTTTTATGTATTCGTGGGCCTTTCACTTCCATTTGCAGCTGTTCTTGGACGCCTGGAAGCCCAAAGATGTCCAACTTTGTTGCGTTTTGTGTTTAAAAAATGTATCTTTTCGACCGACTTGGGGCCGGTACGGAGCTCCATAACCCGTGCCTCATCTGGATCCGCCCCTTGAACTGAAAATATAGTGACAAATTATTAGGTAGCATGCTTACCTACACGCGATTGATAAATTAAAATCGGTCCACAAAATGAAATCCGTAATGATTCCAGATACGCATGTCTCAATGAGAAATCCCGTGCATTAAGCGTGAGGAGGAATAATAGGCAGCCCTAGAGCAGCACAACATCGAGCGTCCTGAGCTCTGTATGCCTTTTCAGAGTGTCTTGAGGTATATTCCTAGCGTTATTAGAGTCAATATGTTCTCAAAATACGAACGTATAACTTCCAGCGTCTTAAGAATGGCCGTAAACGTACCATGCGTAAAATAAACCCGATCTGATGTCGCGGGAACGAACGATGTGCTGTACTCTACCACTAATCGGACTTACATTAGGTTAGAGGCGAGAACAATGCTCTTAACTTACAATGAGTCATGGCTCCCAAACACACAAGCATACATCTAATCCAATCCTTCGTTAATCGTTCGGATGCCACCTCGCATTAATCGTTCAAATGTCAAAACTACCAAACAAGGCAATGCGGCGTACATCAGCACCCTCGCAGAGGCTGTTCAATCGTTTTTCTTCTTTCGCTTCGCACCCTACATCTCGGACGCGACGTCCGTCCGCAGTGTTGGTTGGTGACCAGCTGTTGCCGCCCGTGGCCGGCTGTCGGCCGTGGCGGTGACCAGCTGTTGCCGCTCGTGACCGGCTGTCGGTGCGGCAGCGCCAGTTGTCGGCCGCGGCAGATGCCAGCTCCGGTTTATGGCCGCTCCCAGATTCAATATACCGCGTCTGAGGCGTCATCCGTCACAGTCAAGTCGCGCTGCGACAACACATTTGATAGTGGGCGAAACAAAGCGACGCCCTGAGCGCCTTATGCCGATCCCTGGCGGAGAGGTCGTCTGCGCAGCTCGGATTCGGAGCCGGCTGCCGCCGACCACTCGGCCGGCCCAGGCCCCGCGGAGAAAGTCTCCGGCCGATTCGTGTCACAGGGCCGTGCGTGCATTAGGGTGAACCAATTTTTAGAAGGCGGCCTCGGCAGTCAACCCCTTGACCACTTATGCCAGCTCAACTCAACAATCCTGAGCTCACCTAGCCAGGCATGCCAGCAAACTATACATTTGGCTCTGAAGCGGAATTCAAAGCCGAGACAATGATATGAATACAGAGCCGAAGCCAGCCATGGAAAACAGGTCAAAATAGAACCCGGATCCGAAGTCATTGGACGAAAACTGCGACGTCGCGAAACCAATGTCGAAGGCGAAGCCGAAGCCGAAGCCGGAGCTGAAGCCGAAATCGAAACCGAAACCGAAGTAAAAGCCGAAGCCGGAGCCGGAGCCGGAGCCGGAGCCGGAACCGGAGCCAGAGCTGGAGCCGGAGCTGAAGTCGGAGCCGGAGCCAGAGCCGGAGCTGGGGCCGGAGCCGGAGCCGGAGCCGGAGCCGGAGCCGGAGCCGGAGCCGGAGCCGAAGTCGGCTTCGTTCCCTCCCTGCACCCAACTCACCAATCCCCATTAACTGTGGTCCACGCATCATAATAAAAAGGTCGCAGGACAACACACGGCTCCGCAAGGCCTCCTGGCGAATCCAGCATTCGACGTCTCCCACTGCTTCCCAGGCCTTTCAGCCTGAACACGGTACCTCACGGCGCGGGGTAATGCCTACCGACCGCGGCCATCACAGCAATGGGGCCGACGGGCTGCCAGGCGGGCTCCAGCTGTGGGCACCGACGGCCAGCGGCGGGCCCGTCCAGAGCCGAGACAGCTTACACGGCCGGGTCCGTGCCAGTCAGTCACGTCACCGGCACAGATCGGCTGGCATGGCGACGAAACATGCTAAGCTGCGCCGCATGTGACACTGCTGAGGGGCGTGTAATGGCCAACGCGCGC